CCTTGCAGGCCGGTGAAGTTTTTATGACGGAAATGGTACACCAGGCGAGAAACTGTCGGTTTGTTTGGCATAGAAGAGTCAGGAAATGCATCCCTAAAATCATTCTAGCAATTTATCAAAAGTATATAAAATCATGCTTACAAACAAAACTGTTTACACTTCGAAGATTTTATATATTTTAGATAAATATTTAACACTACACGGTATGCAAGGTTTTAAGATCATTCTAGCAAGTTAAGTAAGAACGAGATGATTACTATTTGCACTTGTGAAAAAGACGTCCTTGCACTTCGACTGTTGAAAGACAACTGACTGGCGCGAGCAGTTTACTAAATTGCGTGACCTACGTGGTCTGTTGTATAGTCAAAGCGATATTGTGTTTTTTTATTAATCCAATCGAATTGCACTCAATTGCAATCATCAATATGTGTTTTAATATGAGTTGTGTGACTTTTCGATCACTCTGCATTAAGTCGCTGCTTCTCACTCGGAGAAAATAAACCCCTTTTTTTCTCTCCTCTTGGTAGTGAAAGGCATCGCTCTCATTGGATGAAGGCTCGATATTGCGTGTTATAAATTATGCACAGAAGTCACACTTGCATTGCCATGTTAAGTAGATACTTTGTCGCCGTCGCATGACGGATACTCAGTTTGCCGATAGAGCAGACGATCTACAGATGTATAGGGTATCTATGTGGATTTATTGAATAAAGTGAGTGTTGGGCCCTGCAGTCACCAGATGACGGAATTTAACCAACTTCCGAAACGTCGTGATTATAAATAGAAGAAAGAAGGGTTATGAAAAATACGTATACTTTACAGTGACGTAGAAACTTCATATCTAGCCATTTTGTTTTAAAACGTGACTACCTTAACATTTTGAGTTCTGGATACGATCCACAGACTTGCGTACGAGGCCATGTTCTATCAACATAAGGAGGTGTGTAGACTGACAATGAGTCACACTGCAAAGTCCGAACCTTCAGCTGGTAACAGATACAGTATCACGTCGACCGCCAAAGAGAGGTCATGGTGACCCACTTCACCTGGTACATGCTGTCAAGGAATCATTGACACGCAAATGAAGACATAACATTCGTTTTAAAATCTAAAAATATCTGAATAACTTAATATTTAGTACTGTATTGTAATTAGGGCCTTCAACACATTTAATTATTTTTAAAATTATTCTTTTTTATTTTTGCGACATGTTTTAGTATTAACATAGAATTTTCAGGCCAATTTTCTATAATGTGACAACTAGGTGCTAAGATTGAATTTAAACTAATTAATTTAAAATGAATGTTACAAACTGACAAAGGTTTGAGACTAAATTGAAATTCAGATTAAAAAGCAATATAAGTTTAAAACTGAGTCGAGTAGGACTATTCTACAACAAATATGCCCATTTGTTACAATTCTTTACATGTAATTGTCTTTGATGTATTGTGTGTTATGTTGACGACGCTAGTTGATATCGATTTAGTAGACTTTAAGCAAACTGTTTGCGACTGATTCCTAGAAACTGTATAAAAATAACAAACTGGAATCTTACCAGTTTGTTATTTTAATACATCATTCCAGTGGAAAGCTTTCCCTATCAATGAAACTCTTTCTATACCCGTCAGACGTAACACGAACATTATTTAATTTTCCAACATGGGGAATATTAAATGTTAATGTGAACTTTGAGGTTTTCACGGCGGCCTGGATGATGAGATGATCTTCAGATTTTGGCGCTTTGTAGACTCGTCGATAGATGGCAACGTTTCGGAAAAAACGTACTGTCTCCATCTTCAAGGCTGACGCCACTAAGTTCTTACCATCAGTTGCTTGAACAGTGGATGTAGTGGACTGTCAATCGACATCGTCTGCAGAAAGAGGGAAAGAACTTGTTTCAGAAGAATTTGTTTTGGGTAAAGAAATACGTAAAACAGGAAGACATCTGATCCTTTTTAAGGGTAGTCTTAGGCCACGACGGAGATGGTGTCATTTATGAGAGTAGCCAGTTCTCAGCATTTCTGTGGAACTTCAAAGCGCAGATTACAAATAAATGCCAAAAGCAGATCTTAATTAGAATTACATATAGTTAGGGGTAACAGTAGCTTAAGAGTGTTTGCCTCTTGTCTGTTTTCTGCGAGAAGTCCCGCGGTATGAACAAAATGTTTCTGTTGCAGATTGGCCAAAGTGCAGTTTACCAGCAATAGATCTGGCCGCCATTACGAGTTCGCATGTTGAGGGGGACCTCACCCCGGCCCCCTCGCCGAGCCAGAAGGTGAAGAGGCGTATTGAGGGCGGCACGAATCTCTGCGATAAGACGAACGAGAGGTGAGTAGCTGGCCTTCACTGTCGGCGTCTCTCAATAAGCTACCGATGCATCGTGCAGACTGCCAACAGCGGGTCATTTAAAAAATGGAAAAGACGACTTTTATCTCAAAATTTCTGGTGACGATTAATTTATTGTAAAAATGTGGCTTAAATAGGGAAGTGGATCTGTTTTGAAATCGTTTTTGTGTAACGATTTAACGTCTGAACTTTCAAAAATTAAATGTAGTGAGAAAATTAAAAGGTAACAGAATTGAGTACAGTAATTTGACTTCCACTAGAAATTGCATATCTATAATCAATGAAAAAATAATAGATTATTATAGAAGGGTAAATATTTATTTTTGTAAGTTAAAATGCCAACAAGTTTGCTGGGCTAAACTTTTATTTTATTACAATTTTCGCTTAACTGGCATTTATATTTTAATTAGATTAATTAAACGAGAATTAACTTATATTATATACCCTTATTTAATATTTTGTTTTGTTTTGAAATCCCATATGTCTGTTTTTACTGTGTCATAACTAAA